TCACGTACGCCCTGGACTACTATCCCATCTTTGTGCCTACGCCGCAGTAAGTTCGAGACTCTCTCCCATTCATTTCAATACTCAATAGCTCCTGCTCCTGCTCCTGCAAAACAGAACCCAAAAGGACTCGTTCATTGGGGATCGCCAGTTCACGGAGTTCTACACCTCGTCGCTGATGAACTTTGGCTGTTATTTCTGCGGCGTTCTGGCCGCCTTGGCCTACGACCAGCTGGCCCTGCAGCAATACAAATTGCGAGAGTTGCGCAGCTTCCAGCTGCTGTGGTTCGCCCTCATTCCGGTGGGCATCCTCTGGCTGTTCAGCGCTCATCCCATATTCCAGCACTATGCGGCACCGTCGGCCATCTGGGGCGCCATATACGCTGGCCTGCAGCGCAATCTCTGGGCCTTTGGTCTGAGCATCTTTATTGTGGGCATGGCCGGAAAGGTGGGCTGTAAGTAATGCCTCGAGAGACACGAACTCCCCTTGCCTCATTCTGTTTGTTTTATTTCCGCAGGGATCTTCCGCAAGTTCTGCTGCCTGCCCATCTTTCGGATACTGGGACGCCTCACCTATGGCGCATTCATCATCCATCTGCTGGTGGCGCGCATCGTTCTGGCCACCGTGCGGGAACCCATCTACTTTGGCACGGGCATGATGGTGGGTCCTTCAGGCTGTCCCTTATCCAAGCGCTTATTCTACCTTTCTCTTTGACAGTTTGCCTTCATCTTCTTCACGGTGACCGTGTCGTATCTGTGCTCCTTCCTGCTGGCCATCTTCTTGGAGCTGCCCGTCTCCTCCCTCCTGAAGCTGATGCGATAGCAGACCGCACTCGGTCGTAGCTTTACTTGTAGAATTAGTTAACTTAAATTAAAAACACTTACCCCGATCCGATCTGGCTCTGCTCGGCGTCCTGCACTCCGGTCCGACCGCCGCCGCCGCGCAGCTCCATGAAGAATCGCTCGATGGCGCGGCTGGCCGCATCGCTTAGCAGCGGATTCACATGCTGGCGTGCATAGGCCAGGAATTTCTTGATCAATATGGGCGGCAGCAGGTCCAGTTCGGCATCCTCGCCCAGCAGCTCCAGGCGCTTGTCCAGATCGTAGTCCTGCTCCATAATGCTGTCGCTTTCGCTGTTTTCCTCGTCGGCCCTCGCCTCGTAGAAGGTGCCCTCGCACATGGAGTGGCTGGTCTTGGGCTTGATCGCATAGCGCGCCGCTATCTGCGCTCGCTTCTTGGCCCCTGCGTGTAGGGCTCGCACATGGGCCGTCAGTGAAATGTCGCGTTCGGCCGAGGGCTTGTCCAGCAGGACATACACCAGATGGAACTCCTTGAGCAGGCTGGGCACGATGTGGATGTTCTGCAGCAGGTAGCGCCCCTCGTCGTACTGTCCCCGCTGAGGATTGGCAGAGGCGATGATCGAGGGCTTGGCCAGGAACGTGGAGAAGGCGCCCGGCAGCGGCATGTTGATCTCGCCCGACTGCATGCACTGCAGCAGTACGGCCTGCTTCGAGGCCAGCTTGTCCACATCGTCGAGGATGCAGTGGCCGCGACTGCTCGCCGACATGAGTGCCCCAGCCTGGAGCACGCGCTTGTTTCGCCCTGCGAAGGTAGGACCCAGCCTCTGCGCGGACTGCGCGCCACGTTTGCCGCTTACGTGCGAACCTCTCTCCGTGCTCTGGGCGCAGCTTTGCAGTATCTTTGACTTGCCGATGCCTGGATCGCCCACAAGCAGCACATTGACGCCTCCATCGCCGCCGCTAAGCAGCGAGAGCAGGCAGGCGGCCTTGGGTAGCTCGTGGCCGTGCACCTCTGGCGCCAGGGACTGCACCAGCAGCTTGAAGCTGTTCGGCTCCGCATTGATCATGGCAATGGCCTCCAGATCGCGCTCGCTGAACTCTCGCAGCTTGTGGTGCGCATCCTGGATGCTCGCAGCCTTAAGATAGGCCTTCATCTCATTGGAAGTTCCAGCTCCGGTGGCCACATCTTCGCCAAGATCGCGCAGCTTGAGCACCCCGTTGACGACAATCTCTTGGCCCACGTGGACGCAGTCCACCAGATCGTGGCGCAGCTCCACATCCATCTCCCCAGGGAGTATGCTGTCATGGTCCGTGATCAGCGACAGACTGGACTCCTCCAGCCGTACGATCTGCTTGGCCGCTATGCGCGTGTACGGCGAGCTCCGCAACGGCACAAAGTTATCCTTGGCCACGCACTGAGCCTGCTTGCAGAGGTAGGGGCGGGGCTGGAAGGTGCCGCGTTGACGCATCGCCTGCTCCGCCTGGCAGCGAGAGCAGCGGAAGGACTGCCAGGCAATGCTGTATGTCGGCTCGCCCACGCTGCTCACAATGCCGCGCACCGAGAACAGCGTGTCCACGCGGTCCTGGCTGATGCCTGTGGTCAGCTCCACTGGCGTAAAGTCCTCGGGGCGCACGTAGATCTTGCGTATGCGGCTCGGAGGCGGCACATACTGATCCAGAGTGGACTCGAGGCGCGTGGCTAACGTCTCATTCGTGTCCAGGCTGTGATGCAGCACCACCGTGTGCATGGCCACGGCCAGGGTGGACATTGTGCGCAACGGATGCTCGCGCAGATCCTCCGTCAGCCGAGGCCACACCTGCTTCAGCTGCTCGTCGTGAACGATGCCGAGGGCAGGCAGCTTGAAGAATCCCTGCTCCCGTATCCGCACAAAGTCGTACTTCTGCGGATTGCGCTGGTAGTGTGCCTCCACGGCAGTGATGCGTCTGGCCAGCTCACTGTCCGCCGTGTAGGTGTCGCGCAGAAAGTACAACCGCCAGCCGGGACAGGCCTTGGGATTGTCCACCGCTATGCTCTGCACGTGCAGCCCATCCTCTGGCGCTGCATAGTTCTCGGGCCGCAGAAAGCTGCAGTCTAGGTGGGTGTCGCGACCGCGCTTACTGGCCGGACGATTCCAGCCTCTTGTTGGCGGTGGGCGTGCTTCAGCCGCATCAGCGACTGGGCCAGCAGCCTCTTGGCCCGGCTGTCGATTTCCGCCAGCAGGGATGACGCGGCCATTGCGACGGAAATAAAAGTAGGGCCGATAGCCACCACCTCCACGACCACGTCCACGTACGAACCTGGAAGGCGCACCTCCTCGGGAAGCCGGTCGATTCATTCAAAAATGTCCATAAAATTACAACAATTTGTACGAATTTACGCGGTTTCGCATAGAGATGACAGTTTGACCGCGAAATATATACTTGCAATTTCAAAATATGCTGTACATTAACCGTAAATCTTAGATTATTTTCCTCAATTTTGATCTTCTGTTTAATATTACCAGTTTTTTAAGGGTCCCAGCGCTAAAACAGTAATTTTATCCGATTTATCAATCAATTCTCCACAAGAGTGGCTAGTTTTCACGAATCTTTTCTTTGGAATGATTCCAAATTAAGTTAAATAGTTCATATAAATGAAATATACATAGTAGAGATGGCAATTATGCAGTGACCAACGAAAGTATTTTTATAAATCAGTGTTCTATCGAAATTAGATCTATCATCTATCGGTTTCTTTACGGGACCTAATTTCGGCCGGTGTGGCAGCTCCACTGAGTTTCTTATTTGAACTCCTCACAAATTAATATATTTACTGCCTTGAACATTTCATTAGAGAATAGAAGAGGACAGTAGTTAATATATAAAATTATAATGATTTTTTTCTTTGGTAAACATTGTGACAGAAATTTCCAAACCGACTTTAGCTGAGCTTTTTCAGCCCAACTTCCTGAATCATTGTTAGCTACGATAAAAAGTCGAACTTTTATGTTCCTGACCTGAATTTTAGCCATTACCGCCGATCCTGTTTTCCTGCGAAGCTTTTCCTGTGGAACTGTAAGGAATCTTTCATCAGATATGCTTAATTTCAAGCCAATAACAGCTAAAAATAGCTTAAGTTCATTATTGCATTTCAACAATATAAAAAAAATCAAAATCATTGAAGAAAAAAGCGGGCATATGGTGCACACGTGTAAATAGTTTCTTAATGCGAATAGAGCCGGTGAGAACAATGTCCGAGTTTGAATCAAAGGTGTATAAAGGCCACAAGCAGAAACACTGAAATTACTAGATCGATTCTCTTGAGTTCCCCGTATGCGTTTACAGCGGTCCACACAGAAAACTGTCTATTTTAACGGATGGGATTGATATTTTTAAGATTAAAAAAAAAAGATAAATTAAAAATTGTAATAGGTGCAATTGTTAGAAGAAGGGACTATTTTGGTGGTGTCTCTATTTCAGTCTGTTGCCTTTTTCCAAACCTTTTCAGGGGACTCTCTCTGTCGTGGGTTCGAATATCTATTCTACATTCCGTGCATTAATAATTCTTAACAATTTATAATTGAAAGGGACACATATATTGTAATTGTAATTAAATAAATTAAATTAACCGGAATAAATGTACTAATTATCTCCTGAAGATCGACAGATAAGTAACTAGAAAAGTATAAAATTCAAATTTAAAGCAATTATTCGAACCACTATTGTCGCAATGCTAATTGGCACATAATTGCATGAAGTGAACCGAAATTCGAATGGAAATCATTGATCAATTAGATAATTGATTATTATATAGATATTAAATATTGGGCTGTTACAAAATTGTGAGTGTGTCGCTATTTCAATGACCTTTAAAGTTGTTTAAATAAAGTATGTAAACATAAACTATTTAATTGTAGGGCTAATCAATTGGTGTTTGAAAGAAAACTGTAGCTTCTGCTGCCCTCTTGCCGCCCGATGACAGTGAAATTGATCACATTCATATATAAAGAAATATATATACCAGATTTATACCTTCTGGAAGGGTAATCAAAGCTACTCGTGCGGAAAGAGCGTATGGTAATAATATTGTATAATAGGAATTGAATTCGCGCATTCGTTTACCATTTGTTTAGCTGCAATGCAGTCCACACTAATAGTCTGCTATATATTCGGAATTTTTCTAGCCTCTTCATTTGATTCTAATGTAAGCATAACCACACACTACTCTGACAAAGGTCCAGCATTAATTAGAGTTCACAGGATGCGATCGTTTTCAAGTTTACAAACTTCGTCTGTGAGAGCTACAATAAATCCTGGGTAGTGTTCCACAACTGTCGTCTGAAGGCCGTCAGTCGCAGCAGAGTGCTCCTCAACCTAAATGCGACGATATTGCATCCGACCCCCGATATGACCTGTCACATTCAAATGTTTAAGAGAGCAAGTGGATATAAGCCCTGGCTGGTCGACATTAACCTTGATGTCTGTCAGTATTTTCGAAGGCGTAATGTACCCTTTTTTTCTATATTCCTTAGTTTCTTTAAAGAGTCAACAAACTTCAATCACACATGCCCCTATGTGGTAAGATTGAACATGATATTTCTCAAAAATTTAACATCTTCAATTCCAATTAAAGGGCACACTGGTTGTCGAAGATGTGTATCTAAACCCCGAGCTACTGCGTCTTCCCATGCCAACGGGCGATTATCTGATCTCCTTGCACTGGTATCACTTTAAGAAACATCAAACAGATATTAACGTCAGTTTTACTTACGTTGAGGACCTCTTGAAGAGCTGGTAGTGGATATTTATGTCAATAATAAAAGTTTAATCTGTATAAATAAATTAAAATATAAAGGAATTTAATTAACAAGTTGCTTCAAAAATGAGGTCCAGAGTTGACCAACTAAATATTTCACGTTTCTCAACAAAATACTTCGAAAAGCTGTCCAAATTATAAACCAGCCTTGACATGTTTGTCAGACTCTTGACATAGACACAAACTTTAAGTCAATCAGTACAAAAAAAATATTCTGTCGAGACACACACAAAATATTTCGTTCTAGTAAAGTTCAGTAAATTCAAAAACAAACCAAAAAGATGTCTTTCGGCATTGTTTTCACAAATCTGTTGCTGGTCTCTGCTTGCATATATGCGATGCGAATGCTCGATCCAACAGTGCATTGGTATGCCTATGTGGCAGCGTCACTTGCACTTATTCAAGGTGTTTTGAGCCTTCTGCGTAGTTTGGCTTTGGTGCCGGATGAATGCGGATTGGCATCGTCGATTTCCGAAGACATAGTCATCGTCTTACCGCATACAATGACCAACATCGAAATCTACCTCAAGTCGGATCTCAGCAAAGTGGCAATGGTCCATTACCTGTGCCTCGTTCCACTCATTTACGATGTGGTTGGCAGAATTGGCGACGACTATGACCCTTGCACGGACAAGCTAAAGGATCTGGCTCTGTTTGCGAACATGATTTCCACTGGATATTTGGCCTTACACGAAGGCAACGAGCAGTATTACGGATTGCTCGCAGTAGCAATCATTGCAAGATTAGGCAGATCCGTAGTAGATTCTTTGGTAGATTGTGCCGGTTATCATGTGACCACATTGGGCCCTGCTGGGATCTTGGTGATGATGACCTACACCCTGACTGGGACATAGTCCGCAAAGAAACCTTAAAGTTTCCCAATGTAGATTTAAATCAATAAATGAAATGATCCATACAAAATTTGCAAATTTTGTCTGAGTACAGGGTATACAAGTTGTGGCGCGTACGAAGCGTTTCACAAATGTTCCTACTCGCTGGCTTTGTAGACTAGCTGTACTTAGTCAGTTTCGTGTTCGGAAGAATCTCCTGAACAGCTAATGCAAAGTATCCACTGCAGATCCCACAGATAGAAGAAGAACGGTGGCGAAAGGCTAAAGAGTGACAGACAGGTCCACAGTTTTACAACTTCGCCCCGGGAGCATTATTCCTTGGCAAGGCCCTTGGGGTGAAATACACTTGTCAAATCACAACCGTTTGGATGCAAAATTTGGTTTAGTCTCTGAGAACTAAGTGGTCATCAGGACGAACAGATAGACTTGGCTATATCGACGCGGCTATTAATGCTTTTCATAATGCTTTTCAAGTTATTTCACTAGTAGTATTCCACAACTAGTCAAGTAGTCAAGCAAGTTACTCCTCAACGCTATTGTGACTGCCCGTTCCAACGGGGGATTATATGCTGGCGATTCAGTGGCTGTTCCATAAGAGGCCACATTTTGATACGAATGTTAGTTTTACATTTGTAGAAGATCTACTGAAGAGAAATTTAAATAACAATGGATTGTATAGAAGATCGAATATATCTCTATACACATTGTTCTATTGATCTGTTACTAAATCGACGATTCCTATTGCTAACAACGATGGTAACTTTTATTTACGTTTTTACTGGGGGACAAGACCTCTGCCCACTCGGTGATGCAGAATGTGTGGTGGAATGCATCCTGAATCTAGTGAGTTCGAAAACGCTGATAATTATTATAATTGACGATATGTATATGATACCAATTCGTCTCGCAACAACTGCTCTATCTTGAAGTTTAAATCTTTGACGTCCACATTTGTTGCTACCAAAATTGTTATTTCTGCCAGCCATACATATCAATGTACATACATACATATTTAGATTACTATTTAACTAACTATTATATTATTAAATTCCTATTAATAACAGAGTACCGGGTATAAAAGTTGTGACGCGCACGAAGCGTCTCACAACGTGCCTTCTCCTTTCTAATGGGTTTTGGTGGCACATGGATTAAACATACAAAAATCACTTTATATGTCTAGGGATTCATCTTGGAAATATTCTTTAATATTCCTGAGGATGGTCTTATATTGCTTCAGCTGCTCTTCAATTTCTCGCTTTTCGCGCATATAATAGGCCTTGGACATTTGAACATATTCTTCGCCTTTGAAGATGAATGTAGAGACCTCTGTGGCGTCTATTGCCTGGTCTTCGGGTGCAGCTGCCTCCTGCTTTGTAGTGGGCTCGCAAAGTTGTATTACCTCAATAGTGTCTTCCGTGGAGATCGTTCTCGAGCGTTTGTTGCAAGGCGGCACAAGACTAATTTCAACTATAAATATATTATTTTAAGAAAGTTAGGTTTATGTGGCTTGTAATAGATTATTTTACTCACTCCCATTCTTATAAGTCCTGGGCTTTGTTGCCATGCGCTTGGAATTGCCTGTGGTGGACTCAACATTGTTGATGCTCAACTCATCGCTGTCCATCAGATTTATAAGGTAACTCTCATGCGAGGATGTGGACGCCACTTGTTCAAGAGCCTCCTCCTCCTCCTCCTCCGGCTCAGGTGAACCTTCGTAGGGATACGGCACCGCCTCGCCTAATAGTATCTTACGATTCTTGTTCGAAGATATATATTTCGTATCAAAGTGTTCGAAGCACATGAACATTTTGTGGGGCGGAATCTTTGGGTGAACATGTCCATTTTTGCGCCAGATTTCGGCACGCTCAGGTTGCTTGGGTGGAGCGAAGACTGTTGTTGAGGTGCTGTCGTTTACAAGATAGTAATTCTCACAGTTCTTGTAACTACAAACTCTTGTAACCATTATTACTATTTTATTTTGTTTCTGTTGTTTTTTTGACTAGCGTCGTTCTTAGCGATGTTTAAATGTGAAGTCAGAGTAGATGATACTATCGGTATATCGAATATTTGCTCACGAGTGCTCTTGCTTACCATCGATAGCCACCATGTGCTTCACGCTCTTTATTCACGTTGTTTGTTTTCCTTACTGTTGATAGTGGGTTATTCATTTTATTTTATTTTTTTAATTTTAATTTACTTTTAATTTGATTGTTGAACAATAATCGGGAATGAAAAGAAATCATCCCGGTTTCTTGTCATCCTATCGATGCTATCGGCCACGAAACCCGCAATTTCTCCACAAATATTAGCGATCTGGCAGCCTTGAGTAACGGGATAAATTGCTCTGCACCTGCACTTTTTATGTTTGCTTGAAATATTTGTATGTATAAACCATGTTTGAGAGTGCTAAAAATTGTGCAATAGACACCACTATGTCGACCTGCGATTCTGATCTGGAGAGCCACAATGGCGGCATTGATCTGACCTCTAAGAAACCGCGCCAAACTGCATCCACTGACGTTTCTAGCGTGTGCAAGGGATTCCTTACTACATATAGGGAATACTGCTCCCACACCTCCTTGCACGGTGTGCAGTACCTGGGCGAGCACCAGCGACCGATGCGGGAGAGGATCTTTTGGCTGTGCGCCTTTGTGATCTCCATTTACGGCTGTGCCACGTTGATTGTCAGCGCTTACACCAAGTGGACGGAGACGGTGGGGCCTCATTTACTCTTTTATCATATCTGCTATTATATTGAATTGTATCTTTCCAGCCTGTGATTGTCAGCTTTGCGGAGAAATCAACACCAGTGTGGAACATACCCTTTCCCGCCATCACAGTCTGCTCCGAGACCAAGCGAGTGCTGAAACCGAAAGGTGGGCTAAAGATCAATTGAATTCCAACAACTATGTCACCCAAAATGTAACCCTTTTGCAGGCAAGGAGACTACTTTCGCGGATCTTTACAGTCAGTTCAATAATGAGATGCGTTCTTCGCGCGTATTCAAGCCGCAAAACATTAGCGCCCGGGAGATGGAGGAGTTTCGCACACTTCTCCATGTGTGCAACACGCAAATCATTGACCAGGCCATGCCGCTGATTGCCGGCGACGATGTCGACTACTTTGATGTGCTGGAACGAATGCTGCCCCAGTTTGATCGGTACTTCTTCTACTGCCGCTGGCTGAGCCGCTTCAGTGAATGCGACAAGTTCTTCCGCAAAACGCTGACGGAGGAGGGCATATGCTTCACTTTCAACGGTCTGAGGGCCACCGACATTTACAGGGAAGACACCTACCAATATCGGCACAGTGCCGATGCCTTGGAAATGGAAAATATCAGCTCGCACACGGCCTGGTCGCTGGAAACGGGCTATGATCTGGAGAGTGATGTGATCACGTATCCAGCCCGCGTGCTCAGTGCCGGGGCTCGGTCGGGCATCTTTCTGGCCCTGCAGAGTTTCAAGCAGGAGGTTGACTATGCTTGCCGAGGGCCTGTTCAAGGTTTTAAAGTTCTGCTGCATGCCCCGGACGACGTGCCGCAGGTCTCGAAGCAATTCGTGCGCATTCCCATGGGCAAGGAGGTGCTCATTGCGGTCAAACCAAGCATGATTACCATGTCCTCGGGCATTGCCGAGTACCATCCGCTGCGGCGGCAGTGCTTCCTCAGCCATGAGCGGTCCCTGCGCTTCTTCAAGGTATACACCGAGTCAAATTGTCAGCTTGAGTGCTTGGCCAACTTCACGCTGACCAAGTGCGGTTGCGTAAAGTTCTCGATGCCCAGGAACATGGATATGCCGGTGTGTGGCGAGGACAAAATCTATTGCTACGATCGGGCTGAGCGTGAGCTGCTCGTGAGAGAGTTCCATCGGGTGAAGGCACTGAATGCGGCCCGAGAGGATCCACGGGGAGTGGAATCGGCTTGCAATTGCATGCCGGCGTGTACTTCCTTGGTCTACAACACGGAAATATCACAGGCGAACTTTGATCTAGAAGAAATGCTGCTTGCCGAAGGCGACACTGATTTCATGGAGGAATATCCCGGCTCCCAGATGTCGCGACTCTCCATCTACTTCAAGCAGAGCCAGTTCATTACCTCGAAGCGGTCGGAGCTGTATGGCATAACCGAGTTCCTGGCCAATTGTGGCGGTATTTTCGGCCTCTTCATGGGCTTCTCCATACTCAGCCTGGTGGAGATGATATACCACTTTACCTTGCGTTTCTGCACCAATATGAAACTCTTGGTTAAAGTGGAGGAATAATTCGTGAAAAATTAAGATATTCGCTGTGCCTGGACCACGCGAATGTTGTCCAGGGCAACAGTGAACAATACTTACCTCATTTCGTTTAACTTATTGTTTTAATATTATTTGTTAAATATCTTATTTGTTCCTTTGTAGTTTAAATAAATATAAACATATTTCAAATCTCAGCTGACAGGCTGAGATGAGGCGATGTGGCAGCCCTGCATGCTCGCTTGCGCGCCAAAACTATCGAATCAAAGTGTTGACACATGCGTGAAAATTAATTTGAAATAACATATTCCCATTTAATTTCGATTGAATTTAAATTTTGTTATTAAATACACTCCTTGCATAAATAAAATATTACCCCCAAGAGAAGGAAAACACAATTGATGCTCACGAAATGCAGCTCTGCTGAACAAAATTGCGATATTTTGGCAACCCGGCATCCCGTCTATTGTTCTGCTCTTTTTTAAGGCGGCCTTCGTCGCGTGAAGATTGTGAAAATTGTGGTTTTCCAATTACTTTCGTGTCAATTGCAGTTAATTTAATTAAATTACAACACAACATGTCTGCAGACCAGGCCCAGTTCCAGCAGCTTTTGGTTTCCCTGCTATCTACGGATAATGATGTTCGCCAGCAGGCCGAGGTGAGTGTTCTGTTCTCATTTGTGCGAAAGATATGGTGGAGGAAGGGGGATCAACACGAAAAATTGAATTGCACAAATTCTGTGATGCGCAATATGCATATTGACGTGCCATCTAGTATATAAAATTGGGCACAGGCCTTTGTGCTCTTGTCTGTGATATCCATTTTGTTCGCAGGCATATTTTTTTCCTATTAAATTTGTACCCTGAATCATCCGTTCCGCACACAAAACGTGTTTTTGCCTTCCCTTTTGACGCCAAATTCGCATGTGTGTTGCGTCTCTTTCGGATGAAGCGCGACAGAGATAGAGATAGCGAGAGCCGAAACAGAGGAATAGAGCAAAATATCATTTAGGAATTCAACAATTTAAAATTTCTTATGATATGTATGTTCATTTGTATGTATATTTTGGGCAAACGGAAACAAAGAGCAGGTGCAAAAGTGTGGTGGAATGACGCATTGGATGGGATGGTGGATGGCAAAATGCAATCTGTTTAATATTCCGTGTTGATAAGCGCCGTGGTCGGGGGCACATGGCACATGGCAACGCCCGCCGACCTTGAAGAATCGGCTCCACCCACCTGAACACCAAACCAAATCTGTTTTCGTTGATTATTCACGTTTCGTTCTGTTTTCTACCATATGTATTCCAGGATGCCTACAACGCACTGCAGCGGGACCTGAAGGTGACACATCTTCTGGCCAACATCCACAATGGCCAGCAATCCGAGGAGGCCCGCCAGATGGCCGCCGTTCTGCTGCGTCGTCTCTTCACCACCGACTTCCCGGATTTCTACAAAGAGGTTCGTAATGCTACAGTGGGCAACGCCCCAGAGAGAGATTTTCTAATGAAACCTCTCCCCTCTCCCTTCCCGTAGATTCCACCAGAGTCCCAGAACCAGCTTCTGCAGCAGATTCTGCTGGCCGTGCAGCAGGAGGTGACGCCGCAGCTGAGGAGGAAGATCTGCGAGGTGGTGGCCGAGGTGGCACGCAATCTGGTCGACGATGATGGCAACAACCAGTGGCCGGATATCCTCCAGTTTCTCTTCCAATGCGCCAACTCGCCGACGCCCCAGTTGCAGGAGGCCGCGCTACGGATCTTCACCAGTGTTCCGTCGATCTTTGGCAACCAGGAGACGCAGTACATTGATCTGATCAAGCAGATGCTGGCCAAGAGCATGGACCCCAGCTCGGATCCCGAGGTGCGCATCCAGGCTGTGCGCGCTGTTGGCGCCTTCATTCTCTTCCACGACAAGGAGAAGGAGGTGGTTGTCTACAAGCACTTTAGCGACATGCTGCACCGTATGCTCGTCATCACCGGCGAATCCATCGAGGCCCAGGACGACCAGAGTCTGCTGAAGCTGCTGATCGACATGACCGAAAGCTGTCCCAAGTTCCTGCGGCCCCAGCTGGAGTTCATCTTCGAGATCTGCATGAAGGTGTTCAGCTCGAAGGACTTCGAAGACACCTGGCGTCATCTGGTGCTGGAGGTGATGGTCTCCCTCTCCGAGAATGCCCCTGCCATGGTGCGCAAGCGTGCGGAAAAGTACATCGTTGCCCTGATTCCACTGGTGCTGCAGATGATGACGGATCTGGACGATGACGATGACTGGTCGACCACCGATGTCGTCGACGACGACGATCACAGCGACAACAATGTGATTGCCGAGTCCTCGCTGGACCGCCTCGCCTGCGGCCTGGGCGGCAAGATGATCCTGCCCCAGGTGATGAGCTCCCTGCCTGCGATGTTGAGCCACAGCGATTGGAAGCACCGCTTCGCCGCACTCATGGCCATTTCGTCCATTGGCGAGGGCTGCCACAAGCAAATGGAAGCCATACTGGATGAGGTGATGTCGGGCGTGCTGAACTTCCTGCGGGATCCCCATCCACGCGTGCGCTACTCTGCATGCAATGCCATCGGCCAGATGTCTACAGACTTTGCCCCCATCTTTGAGAAGAAGTTCCACAGCCAGGTATAACATCTAGCATATAGGAATTCCCCTTGAAATTTTTCTCATCTTTGTCCTCGTTTAGGTGATTCCCGGCTTGATGCTGCTGCTGGACGATGTGCAGAATCCCCGAGTGCAGGCTCATGCCGGTGCTGCTTTGGTCAACTTCAGCGAGGATTGTCCCAAGAATATTTTGACACGCTATCTAGACGGGATCATGGCCAAGCTGGAGGCCATTCTCAACTCAAAGTTCAAGGAGCTGGTCGAGAAGGGCAACAAGCTGGTGCTGGAGCAGGTCGTCACTACCATTGCCTCAGTGGCGGACACTTGCGAGGCCGAGTTCGTGGCCTACTACGACCGCCTGATGCCCTGCCTCAAGTTTATCATCCAGAACGCCAATTCCGAGGATCTGCGCATGCTGCGCGGCAAGACCATCGAGTGTGTGAGCCTCATCGGACTGGCCGTGGGCCGGGACAAGTTCATCGGGGATGCCGGCGAGATCATGGACATGCTGCTGGTCAATCACACCGAGGGTGCAGAGCTGGCCGACGATGATCCGCAGACCTCCTACCTGATTACGGCTTGGGCGCGTATGTGCAAGATCCTGGGCAAGCAGTTCGAGCAGTATCTGCCCCTGGTGATGGGCCCCGTGATGCGCACTGCCTCCATGAAGCCCGAGGTGGCCATGCTGGACAACGACGAGGTCGAGGACATTGAGGGCGATGTCGACTGGTCGTTTATCAATCTGGGGGAGCAGCAAAACTTTGCCATCCGCACAGCCGGCATGGACGACAAGGCCTCCGCCTGCGAGATGCTCGTCTGCTACGCCCGCGAGCTGAAGGAGGGATTCGCCGAGTACGCCGAGGAGGTGGTCCGCCTAATGCTGCCCATGCTCAAGTTTTACTTCCACGATGGCGTCCGAACAGCCGCCGCCGAGTCGCTGCCTTATCTGCTCGACTGCGCCAAGATCAAGGGCGCCCAGTACTTGGAAGGCATGTGGCTATACATTTGCCCCGAGCTCCTGAAGGTGATCGTCACCGAGCCAGAGCCGGAAGTGCAGTCCGAACTGCTCAACTCGCTGGCCAAGTGCATTGAGACCTTGGGCCCCAACTGCCTCAACGAGGAGGCCATGAAGCAGGTCCTCGAGATCATCAACAAGTATGTGCTGGAGCACTTTGAGCGCGCCGACAAGCGTCTGGCTGCCCGCAACGAGGAGGACTACGACGATGGTGTCGAGGAGGAGCTGGCCGAGCAGGACGACACCGATGTCTACATCCTGTCCAAGGTGATTGACATCACGCATGCCCTCTTCCTGACGAACAAGGCCCAGTTTCTGCCAGCCTTCGAGCAGGTGGCCCCTCACTTTGTGAAGCTGCTGGATCCCAGTCGTCCACCAACCGACCGTCAATGGGGTGTGTGTGTCTTTGATGATTTGATTGGTGAGTGTGGATTGTGTGAATTGCTATATAGAATAGTTTAATTTTATGTTTTTGTTCGCAGAGTTCTGTGGCCCCGCCAGCGCCCCGTACCAGCAGATTTTCACGCCAGCCCTGCTGCAGTATGTGGGCGACAAGTCGCCGGAGGTGCGCCAGGCTGCTGCCTATGGCTGCGGTGTTCTGGCCCAGTTTGGTGGCGAACAATTTGCTGTCACATGCGCTCAGATCATTCCATTGCTGGTGCAGGTCATTAATGATCCAAAGGCCCGCGAAATCGAGAACATAAATGCCACGGAAAACGCTATTTCGGCCTTTGCCAAGATCCTCAAGTATAACAAGTCGGCGCTGTCTAATGTGGATGAGTTGATTGGTGTGTGGTTCTCCTGGCTGCCCATCTCCGAGGATCCCGAGGAGGCTGCCCACATCTATGGCTACATGTGCGATCTGATTGAGGCCAATCATCCAGTCATTCTGGGCGCCAACAACTCCAATCTGCCGCGCATCGTCTCCATCATCGCCGAAGCGTACTGCACCAAGGTTCTGGAGGCCACCAGTGCGACCGGTACCCGCATGCTCACCATCGTCAAGCAGGTCGAGTCGAATCCCGACGTGATGCAGGCCTGTGCCAGCAGCCTGAGTGCCGAGCAGCAGCAGGCGCTGCAGGACGCCTACCGGGAGCTGGCCAGCAAGGCAGCTGCCTAAAAGGGGATCATCACCATGTACTCCATCCCCCACTTTTGAATCCATAGAAGGAGCATTACTCTCGTTATTATTTTTTACTCTTGCCGACAGTATCGTGTCGAATCGGCAAATGCATTAATAACTATGTTAAAACAGGGATCCACACAAATTTTTGTGTGCATCCATCCATAGAGTTATACAGATAATGATTCTATATATACATTGTGATTTCAATCAAAACTCTTCTCTCACGAAGGCAAAAGTCTGCGACTTCTTAGAATTTGATATGTTGAATGGATGGATCCCATTGCCATCATCAGAACACAAATTCCAATAGATTATTTTCGTTATTCAAGTTATCGTGTTATATACAGGATATATATTGTATATTTGGCCAATAACCACGGCCACCACCTCTCTTCCCACACACACAAAAAACTCTCTCACATACAACACACCCACGAAAATCTGGATGTGAGCGTCGTCCGAATCGAACGAAATGTAACATGCATTCAAAACCATTTCAAATGATAAAAATGTATTTTAAAAATGATTAAAAGGTCGAAATAAATAACAAGTAAAACGAAAATGACGGATTATTTAATATCAAAGAGGTAGCGTGGTGAAATAAAAACTAAATACATTTAATCAAATTAAACAAGATTTTAAGAGAAATCCAGAGAAATTGCAAGCGTTTCAGATCAGTGGAAGTACAGGCAGTAAAAATGCATATGTATGTGCGCCTATTTTTAGAAGCTTTGCAAGTGTTCTTCACTCTACTTGAGCATTCAAGCTGATTAAGAACTCGCTTTGCCGTGCCCTCGCCGTTACGTTGCCTTTTCTAAAGGCTGTTCTGGGTCTCTGGCAAGATTCTTAGTACATATGCACATACATACTTTATAGAGTCTGTTACGGTGCGTGCCTAGGCAAGTCGGGCATGAGCATCAGTCTATTGGGTCCTAGTTTCGTTGAATGGGAATTATTCGAGCTTTTTTCTGAAAATTTGTTTAAGGCTCTGTGCATGCACGGCTTTATCTTAGAATCTAAGGTATTCGTTTGGAAAAGTAGAAAAAGTTACGCATGATAGCTTGCGGAACTAACCATACAGTATCCAGTAGTTTGCTTTAAGTTCTATATAATTAAAGAGTATATAAAAAAACACAAGGATCGCTCATTTTAAAGATTTAACAGACGTTTAAATTAAATGTGATGTATACAGCATGCATGCATGTAGTGACTGAACGTAGCTAGACCTCCACAAGAAACAGCTGGATAAGAAGCACACGGAAAAACAGAGCAAGCAAAACAAAAACGCAAAACGCAAAGAACATTCCAACCAAATCGAATAAGTTTCAACGAATTTAACAATGAAATTGTAATTATACATTTAAGGTATATTCTCACATAAAAACGAAGCTTTATTTCATACTGGGAAAGCCCGAGCAAAGGAAATGAAAGGTGAGTGCAAGAAAATTGTGAAATTAAATAAATGACGAATTCCTAGAGACTACGTGTCGCGACTTATTATTTCTAGATCTATGATTTTACTTTGCTGATCAAAGTACATCCGAACCCGATTGAATCTCAATGACAAGGAAAGTTCTGGCAGAGTTAGTAAAACTTGAAGACGAAACCGGAAAAAAGTGGGGTGAGTGCAACAAGTGGACGTGATAAATCCGATTGTGAATGCAGCAAACCGAAAGACATTTCGTTGGCCACAATTCAATTTTGAGCAGATGCAGCAGCTGCCCCTAAATGGCAGAAGGCCCACCGAATTGTGTAGGAGCTAGAGGAAACAGAAACCGAATTTGCCCCGAAATTTGTAGAGCATAAATCTCATAAATCGGATAAGAGAAAGAGACTCGATGTCTGACGCACTTAGTCAGAGAGGAAACGGAAGCTGTGCGACAATTGTACATTTTTCAGTTGTGTTTTCGTTGCTGACCAGCAAAGATGGATATCTACCAACAAGTTTGGTATTCTGGGAATCAAAGTAATGCTAAATTAAAGTCGTTGTCTTATTTATATTCCACCAGCTACTAAACTTCGCAATGGCATCCACGGAAAGCGAGTTCCTTGAGGCGTATGGCCAAATCCAAGCTGCTTATAAGGCAGCCATGACGCAAGTAGAGCTGGCCCTGGACCGCGAGGAGTTGGAGGACGCTACGAAAACCATTGAGGCGTATGAGCGAGCCCTGGAGATGATTGAGGAGACCTTTGCCATACCCGTGGGCCTGCCCGATGAGATTGATGCTGTGCAGACGCAATGGAACGACGCCTGCTCCCTGATACAGAAGTTAAAGAGCGCCAAGACGGAGGTTAGCTATCGCGTGAAGGTTTTGAAAGCCAAGAGCCTCCCCGTCGATGACGGAGCAGTCGAGGCAGAAGAGAGGGAGCGCACCGAAGCAGATGGACAGGGCACCAGCCGACAGCGGCCCTTGTTGGCCGAGAATCCATCGACCTTTTACGACATAGCCAATGCCAGTGGCACTCCCAGAACCTACAGGGAGATGGCTACCGGCTTGCGAGAGCTCCTGGCCAGCCACGAGGCTCATGCCCAATTGGACGAGCTCTTCCAGGCGCAGATCAAGCTGTACCGCATTGAGGCCAGCGGTGTGGTGACGACCATTACAGGAAGCACCACCATGTCACTGGTGATGTGCACAGTGGACGGCAAGTGGAAATATCTCAGCGGCAGCACCTTCATCCAGTGCTCGATGACGGAGGAAGGGGCTCCCACGGCATCCGACATGATCTGGCTGTACCCACTGGTGCCCTCGATCACCAATTGTTATCGCACGGAATACGGGGCCTTTATTTTTCCGGATATGGAGTGCCAGGAGCCTGGCAATGCCTTCGGAATCATGCTGGTGAAGCCACAGCGACCGCTCAGCTCCACGGCCGGGGAGACGGAGGAGGAGCAGATGGAGGATCTGCAGCAGTTCTTCCTTGACCTTCTTGAGGCCGTGCTGGCGGGAACGGTGGAGCAGCTGAAATCGCCGGGCCCCCAACGTGCTGGCTCTGGTCCGGGCACCAGCTCGGAGCAGGTGTCCAAGCACATTGTGTGCGCGGCCGATTTCATAGCTCGCAACCTGGTCAAGGGAGCAGAGAAGACGGGCGGCCTGATGATGCGATCGACGCCGTATCTCATCTCCAAAATGACGCCAGCCTCGGAGGAGGCCCCCACCCAGGTACCTGCCTCCGTGCAGTCCACAGGTAAGTCATCAGCTGAGGATTTCTCATGGTTTTTTACTGTCTTTCTCTTACAGTGGAAGTGGCTCAAAAAGTGACCCACGCGGCGGTTGGCATGACCGGTTGGATAGCCGGAAAGGTGGGCACCGCATCGATGGCCGTTGGGCGCTATCTGGCTCCGCATATCCAGGAGCAGGGATCGAAGCTGCTGCAGAAGGGCTTTGGCTACGACACCACCGAAGCCAACAGCACCATGGAGGGTGCACTAACAATAGCAGCGGGAGCCGTCGAGTGCTTTAGCACTGTCTTCGATGGCCTCGAGACATCGGCCAAGATCCTGGGCAACAGCCTGAGCGAGAACTCGGTCAGGATTATAGAGCACAAGTGAGATCAAGCGTTTACCCGCATTATGGTCATCTTAACAGCATGTGTTCCCTTGCAGATATGGACCATCAGCTGGGAACTTGGCCTGCGGCACCTTCGATACTATGGGGAATGCATTTGTCATCAGCCAGAATGTGAATTATATATCCCCCAAGGGCATAGCCAAAAAGTTGGCCAAACGTACCGGCGAGGCCGTCGTGAGTGATTATAAACGCGATTTGCGTAAACCGGAATCTCATTATATTAACGCCGGAGCCCTCTATCCAGATCTGAGAGCATTGAAGGAATGATGCGGCTTAACCAAAGATATTTACTTATGTTCAAATATAAATACTCGTCTAGTTCCAATATCCAATTTATAGCTTATTTTATAAGTCAAGCCTAGAACATTTGTTTCACACATGCATTATGTCCAATTAAAGGAAAACAAAAGCGTAAAAAGATTGTAATTTGGACAATTTATGATTGTCTACACTGTCTACCTATAAAGCTTTATATGCATATTTATTTATACTGAAATAACACAGATTAATGGTTTATCCAATTAATTTATATTATTTTCAGCACCTGTACACTTTCACGATTAGGACTCTTAACTCTTCAGTAGGTCCTCGACGAACGTAAAACTAGCGTTTATATCCAATTGATGCTTCTTATAGTAGAAAAACTTCATCGACAAGAGATAATCACCCGTTGGAACGGGCAGACGCAGTAGCTCCGGTCTTAAATACATATCTTTGACAATCACTGGGCCCTGCAAAGGCCATTAAAGGTGTTGAAGTTAAAGGTCTTGAGAAATATAACGAATGAATGTATTGAAAATCTTACCACGTAGGGGCATGTGTGATTAAAGTTGGAAAAATCTTTCAAAAAAGCATGGACTATGGAAAAAAGTCGATTATTATGCCTTCGGAAATAGAGACAGACATCAAAGTTAACGTCGAATAGCCAGGGCTTATATCCGCTTGCTCTCTTAAACATTTGAATGTGACAGGTCATATCGTTGGTCGGATGCAATATCGTCGCATTTAGGTTGAGGAGCACTCTGCTGCGACTGACGGCCTTCAGACGACAGTTGTGGAACACGAACCAGGATTTGTTGTGGCTCTCGCAGACAACGTTTGTGAACTTGAAAACGACTGCATCCTGTGAACTATAATTAATGCAGGACCTTTGTCAAAGTAGTGTATGGTTATATTCACATTAAAATCGAGTTTATACGTAAGAAATATTCCAAATATAACACAAAATATTTGTTTGGACTGCATTGCGCCTAAACGAATGGTAATCGAATGCGAGCTGACTCCCAATGATCCAATGTAATTAACCCAAATTCATCCCGCATGAGTAGCTTTGATTATTAAATTTATATTAAAAAAAAGTATATACCCTTCCCAAGAATGTAAACATGGCCAATTCACGCCTCTTCGTTTATCCATACGCAGTTCGGATAGGATCACAATATATTTCATGGAAATCGGCAGGCAAAGGGCAGCCGAAGCTACTTCCTCCCTCTTTCACTCAAATAGCTTGAGCCCAAAACGAGAAGAAAAGTTTTTTTGGAAACTAGTTTACTAAATGAAACTTTATAGGTCATTGAAACAGCGACAGTCACAATTTTGTATCAGCCCAATGTTTAATATCTATATTATAAGTCACTTAGCTAATTGATAAATGATTCGCATTCGAATTTTCGGTACACTCCATGCAATTATTTCGCAATTGGCACAGTCTACCATTGCAAAATAGAGAGGGGTCTACTTTTCTAGTTACTTATCTTAAGATCTTCAGGAGATTATTATTATACTGATTTAAGTAATCAATTAAAAAAGGATTTTAATTTCTAATCTCAGCATATACGAGTATGTACATATAATAAATGACATTAGGTTTGAAAAATTCTTGATCGGCGGGTGAGGCTATACATCGAGCACGCCACGTTTTAGCTCAGCCTCAAGACGTGACCTCTTTGGGCATTTAAAACTAACTACTCTCAATAAAAGCCCTGCCCAATCGGGGCAGTCACATTCTAATATGGGTGTGTTCGCTGAGCTAGAACATTTTTTGCCTTTAAGGAAGTTCCGCGTAAGGTGGAAATTCTGTAATCTTTGGATAACACATGGAACAAAAACTACAAAATTTCCAATTACAGCCAACAACAATGGATGAGTAGCTTGTTTAATATAAACTAACTACATATGTACATAGGTAGTGATTTCATAAAAAGACAGGGTAATAGCTGTCCGATCTACAATACATATGCATGACCGTATTTTCCTTAATTGGAAAATAAAAGATGGCTGGAGAGGATGTGTGGTGTCTTCCCCAACAGCTCATTCACGAGCTCAACGGCACGAGGCGAGCGAGAATGAGCAAGAATTTACGGTTGCTGCAGAGAGTTGGTTCGGAAACGTTTTCTGCTGTGCGTTACCTAGGATGCATTGTATGTACCACTCCGAGTACAAAAGGGGTTTGTGCAGCATTAAGTAGCAAACATCAAATTTGAGATCAAAGTGCAAGTGTTTGTGTGTCTGTGTCCATGTGCAAAGCAGCCGACTTGTCAGCAAACATGTTCGAAATCTATGCACAGTGCACACTGAATACTCTAATGGAACTGCAAAGTCAATTGTGGTTATATGTTCATTATTTGTATTTACGTATTTAGATGTTTAAATATTCTTTTATCCCTTTTATTCTGTGTTGTATTTAAAACATATGTACTTATGTACATACAGTTTCCTCTGTACGAATGTGCTCAAAAAGTAGCCCGTAAAAACTCCAACATTTACATTTACATATATGGAGATTGCATAGGCCAGAAAGGAGGCTGGGTCAATGTGGTCCCCATCGTCGTCATTCATGTCCAGCAACATGATTAACTTAGCAACAAAATATTATGCTGCGGAATAAATATTCCAATAAATATTCAATTTAATTACAAAAAAAGGAAACAAAATTCCCTTCACATTAAATTATAAGCATCAGCAGTTCTTTCATGGTTGGTGGATTCTACTCTGAATATCCCGCCAAAGCCAATTGTTTATGCCCATTGTTGAATACAGATATAAAGCTTAAAGCCCAAAGACGAGCACAACTATAGCATACCCGGTACTAGAAGAGTAAACAGGGTATATTTTTATTGGTGGGGAATAACGGATGTAGGTAACGGATTAAGCAAACGAGCGCGCAAGTAACAACATTTTCGTATAAAGTCTGCAGACTTTTAAAGCAACTTGCCGGCCAAAATGAAGCCTGCAAAGGAGGAGGACAAGGACAAGTCCACCAGTGCGATCCTGCTGCAACGACAAGCACCGCCACAACAACCACAACAACTCTCACTACAGGACGGCTCAAGAAGACCAAACAAGGGCCGGCACCGCCACAGCAGCGGCCCCAGTGCGTGCTACATCGCCTGTGGCGGTGGCTGCAACCAAGCCAGATTCAGTTGCCAATGCTGATGCCCAAGATGCTGAGTCAGGCGCCCAGCCGCAGCGTCAGCATGATATCTGTCAGAAATGAAAGCAGATGGAAGTAAAGCGTGGCTCTGGACACAAAAGTAATTTTCTTGGTTGCAGGAGCTTCCTGCAGAAATGGCATTTCTCGTGCATGTCCATCAGCTTTGATGTCCTCTCGGTTGCTCGCAAGAAGTACAAATGCCCCTCGTGCCGAAGAGCTAGAGTCAGAGCTCCATCTCGTTTTCCCATGCTGGACATTCAGCATTCTGTCTCTAGCTGTTTGATTGCTGGTGCTATTACAGTCCTCGACACCACACCTAGTGCCTCTCCTTGCCGATATATAAGACTAAAACCCCGATCGGTGCCAATGGATCAATGATCGGTGATCAAGTTGCCCAGGTGAACGCGCCCAATCATTTTTCATTTCAAATACGCATGTGAAATCGATGAATGCTAAAAAACATCGATTGTTCGTGCAGGGTATGTTCAACAGGGTACAACCCGTGGGATATTTTTGTGCTCACATTTGAAACTCAAAAGTGAGTGTGGAATTTCCCTGACACAGCAGAGTATTTCCCCGACCGGTTGACATAGGAGAGAATTTCACCGACCATTTAGACACATGAGAGAATTTCCCCAACCGGAGGGAATTTCCCCGACAGCAGAGAATTTCCCCGACCAAGTTGCCAACTTTCAATGAACATTAAACAAAAAAAATAAAAATACAAAATTTTTTGAACTGCGCGGTTGTGCGGCGCGTCGCGGACCAACAAATATCAAATAAAAAATAAATAGTGTTATATTTTCTCGTGCTTGTGTTTTTGTGGGCACACTGCGGGGTAAAGTTAACAACAAATTTGAGCGCGTCTGCGTGTGAAATTATAATTGATAATTTAATTTGTTAATAAGTTGCACCTGTGCTTTTGTGCCGCGGCTGTATGGCTGTATGGGTGTGTGTGTGTGTGAGTGTATGGGTGTGTGCATGTTGTTTTATGTTCATTTTCGCGAATGGAAATTGAAAACAAGCCGAAAGAAATACCAATACCATCCATTTTCAAGTGAATAATGTAGTGTAAATATGATTCGTGTCTAATACCAGTTTACCAAAACTAAAACGTGCCATGCATAAAACGGTGAAACAACAACAGTTCTAAGCGTTTTACACAAACAAACACGTTTTCGTGACGTCTGTGTGTGTGTGTGTGTGTGTGTGTAGTGGGTTGGATGCTGTGTGTACGTGTTGCTCCTCTGTCGTCTTAGTGTGTGTGCGTGTGTTTGTGTATAGAAATTTCTAATTTTTTGTATTCCAAAATAGCCACAAAAAAACAGCCACAACAATTGGGATTCTGTTAATGCGTGTTTTATAATTTAAATGTAGTTTTTTTGAAACAAAGCAACTGTGTGCAGCAACAACGGAGGCATTGATAAGGAAAAATTGACAGCTTTGATTTTTACGGTGAGTATTGGAATTTAAAGCTGCGATTGTCATACCCTTGCAGAGGGTAGCACGTTTTTGAGAAGTTATTTGCTAGCCATCGCTTTGAAAGTGCGACTGCTGAAGCTCTTGCATGGTTCGGGTTTGGATTAGGGCTACAATCATCCTTTTGTTAGGAAATAACATATCACGAAGATTATTGCTATGAATACAGAAATGATGGCCACCGCATAGAGCCCAATGTTGTCAACTTCCTCCACTTTGGGTGCATGCTGGGTGGTTTCCGCCAAAACGTACTCGATTCGCGTGGTGGTAAAAAATAGAGACCTTTGTTTTCTCAAATGAAGAGCTTTTATTGAATTCATCTTGGTTTGCTTCTTTTCGATCGAATTTTCTCAGGCCATTTCGAGTAAGGCCTGCTGCTACTTGTTGTATTTTTCCGTTTACTCATTTCCACTTTGCATCCCATCGTCTCCACCTGTAAGTATTCAGACGTTAGCAGCATTTAGGCGCCTGGTCATT